GACAAGCCGTGATGGCAATTTCCACCTAAAACAAGTGTCGATCATGAGTATTCTTTCTTGAGATATTCACCAAACACCAAAAAACAAATTGGGTTGGAGCATCAATCAAATCAACCATCGGTTCTAATACCACATTGGGAGTTTGGGAGTTGGGGTGTGCAAAACGGACTGCCCAAACTGGGAACCACTCGGACTGGATAGGAATGACCTGTTTGGTCCGGTTCTCGGGAGTGTCGGTCCCGTTCCCGGTTCCTAAAAGCGGAACCAGTGTCCGGATGGTCCGGTTTCCGGTTCCAAAAGAAACCAGACTAGACCGATTACATATATATATTTTATTTCTTCAAAAAAATTAGTAAAATGTGAACTAAATCTTAAGTGAAGCATTTTTTTTATGTGTCTTTTCAATTTGAGGATCATTGCATATATATCACTTAATTCAATACGAAAAGATGGCATCAAGTAGTAGGAAAAAAAAGTGATCGATTCCATTGGACTGGACAGGAACCGGACCGGACCGGTGGTCTGATCCGATTCTCGGTTCTAGGACTAACCGGTCTAGTCCTTGGTTCCCAAATTGGGAACCGATCGTCCCAGTCTGGTTACCGATCCACCTCGGAACCTCGGAACCGGACCGCATCGAGAACCGATCACCCCTAATTGGGAGTACGCAGTAAAAGCACAATACCTTCATCTAGGGAGATCATCAAGAGGGAGCCCATGTTAGAGCAAATTAACATATTCGGTTGGATTCATATTTACTAAAAAATTTAAGCCAATGAGTTATGAGTCAATTATAATATACTAACTGCTCAACACTACACTAATTCTCCGATGTTGGACTTCTCTAACACAACTCACATGTATATTTCAACATTAATAAACTCTACTACTCGATGGTTGTGTCTTCTCCACTTCTTCACCGTTGCCATTACAAATTTCTTCGGGATGTTCGCCTCCTTGACGGTTGCGCCAGATCTACTTCTTCATGGACGCCTCTCTGACGGTTACTTCTAAAATAGTTAGCTCCATCACTTGATAGTTATTTCATTTCTACTCCGCCGACGATTATGTGGATCATCGCCCTTCAGTTGCTCAAGCTGATCTTCATTTATTGACGTTGTGCTTTAAGACATGGCCATTTTCATCCATATCCTCTGTCGGCTAAAACCGTATTCTTTTGTCGACCAATTAGCTTTGTCGACCAAAGGCTCCAAACACTTTGGTGATTTGTTGTCTGTGTATCGTCTTACTCGGCCTTGCTAGCTGAGTCGTTGATTGGAGACTTGACATTTTTTGGTGTTAGGAGCGGAAAACTTTAATACATGCGAACATAATCACCTCGCAATATTTTTGTGCAAAAAGTGTTCTATAGATAGTTTCTTCCCACAAGGCACTCTATGCCACATCTAATTTTACAATCTCTTTTGTTAATTAAAATTTAGAAAAGTAATGAAGCTGTTATGGTTTAAGCTTTTTCTCTTTTAGCGGCCTTTCCTTCTTCCTGACAACCTGCCAAGTCTGCCAAGGTGGGCGGAAGACTCGATCTGTATTTTAGATTAGCTTGGAGTCAACTGATAAGTCATCAAGTTTGGTGCATATTCTAAACTGGCACGTCAACATTTTTGAGGCATTATTTGGGCTATGAGGTGGTGATTCTGCTTGTGATCAATTCAATACGTTCTTAAAAGAAATACTTAAATACCAATCTGATTCATGTTATCAATTCAAGAACGCAAGATGCCTTGCTTTTCCAGGGTAAGAAAGGATAGAGAAAATACCCCGATTCAATGCTCGAGTACCAAGGGCTACGACATGAATTTACAAAGAAGAGAATATGACTCACATGTATAAGAGGGCAAGAGAAAATCTACACTATTATGCTTATGTAGCTTGGAATACAAATACAGCATAGTCTAACTTATTAAATGTGTCATCCTTACTATGTATGCTAAAAAAACGAATGCTCGATTAGATATTCGGTATAATATCACGATAATATGTTAGGTGATATAAGTATTGATTAAGATATTTGCTCAAGAAATGCACCCTAGCCATTGTATTTGTGGTGGCAAAGGTATAATGACGTGTGCAATAGGACCCATTTAAGGGGTATATTTGTTGCCTCCTCAGAGAATGACACATCAGCACAACATTTTGGACGGTCCAAGTTAATTGATTCGCCATTTCCTTTATGTGCCTTTCATTTTCATTCTTTTCGACCCTTTTCTGGTTTTCCCAGTATGACCTTCTTCCTTCCACAACTTAACACCGTGCACGCTGAGGTCGACGAGTTCTTCTTAGGCTAGACATCGAACTGCATAAGATACATATTTACTTACCATATTAGACTTTCAGACTTACCCTTTTAAATAAGCATAAAGCAATATAACTTGACTAATTTCAAATGATTTCTAAGCATCTTCAATAATTTAAGCATATAAACGGATAATTTGTGAAAAGGCAACAAAGAATGGCTCTTGGACCTTAACTAATCAAAAAAGATATGTAAGCAATATGCACTTGAAATGAAACATATAATAATAATGCACAAAGAATCAAAACTTGATTGGGACGTCACGTTAAGATTTAAAAATTATAAATTCTAAAAATTTAAGTTATTAAGTGATAAAGTAACATTGATAAAAGGTCGATAAATCAATAAAGAAGCCTAGCTATGAGATAACTGTACGCTTGTTATCCTTCAGAATCAAAAGTCAAAACAATCAAGCTCTAGGAGACGCCTCTGTTCTTGTTGCTGAAATATTCCCGCTAAAGTCGCGTTCCCCTATGAGTGAAAATTTTGGATGACGCGTTTGACATTGATTTCCAAGAAAGTGGCTCTCTTTGTCCACTGGATGCTTCTTTCCTTTGGACATACTCTCTCTCCGAACTCTTTTTATAAAGAGAAAATGACATAAATAATTCATAAATTTTGACTTAATATGTAATATGGTCACTGAATTTTTAATTTGTTCAATATAACTCATGAAATTTATTCCAATGTATCCCGAATTTTTAATCATTTTTAAGGAAAAAGTAATCATGATATTATGATAAATCCCTCGATGGTATCCCCTTTAGAATCATTAATTTTTCTCTTTAATGTCCTCTTTATAAATAATAATTTAAAAATCAGATTTTTTCAGCATAAAATATTTGACTCAAAAATCATTTTCTTAAACATATATGTCTAGATATTTCGTTGACGATGAAATATTTTTTATTCATTCATTTTTGTTTTTGAGTATAAAAATGTTGCACAATCATATTTTATGGCAATTGTTAGAGTAATAAAATATTAAACCACACATTTATCTACAACCTTAAACTTGTAGAATAATTGGCAGTGGCTACATGAAATTTTACATGAATTAGAGCATGAGGTCCTGACAGAAAGTCCAGACTTGCCTCCTCATTATATAAAGTTCAACCTATGCATGAGAGGGGCTCTTTATAGTATTTAAATATAAGACCATGCCTTAATCTACAAGTTTAAATTTTTTGAACAGTTGGTAATGATTTCTAAAAATTTTTACTGCAATGACCCACAAAATCGGGATCTCCAAGTGAAACATATCCACAATATTTTTTTTATGTCGAGGATAATTGTCCAAGAAATCCTAAACCTATTATACGACGGCTAACTCAATCTTAAACTTTTCAATTTGGCCAATTAATATGCCAATATAGTCTTTCCGACCAAAATTGGTAGGAAATTGCTGACGTGGTCGTTTGCCGTCTTATGTGGCGACATCGGCACTAACATGGACTATTTTTATTTTTTTTAATAATTCATAAATTTTTTATATTTTAATTTTTCACCGCTCTTCTTCCCAGAAGGGACACCGTAGGATGGCCCGCAGCCATGTCAACGATTTCCGGTCATATAACAGGTTTATGATTTTTTGGACAATTTTCCCTAATGACGTAACTATCCAATTTGCTTAATAGATTTTTATTTGATACACTAGCGGTCAAAATAATAATTTCATAAGTAGGGTTGAGACATTGCCATGTATACAATTTTTTTTTGGTAGTTATATTCATGTCTTTAGCAGATGAAAATTTCCATTTCTCATATTCTTTAGTAATCTGGCGTAGTTTTAATTTTTGTTTATGTAGACGGCCCTCTGCAATGTTACAATCTAATATTAAGGAGACCTCGTGATATAAATGAAACATCATCTAGGAGAAGTACAATAAACTAATATTGTGAAATTGGACCGTGTATGGTAGCATGAATAATAATGATAGGATATTGAGTTATAAAATATGGTCCAAAACTAAGGTCAATTAAGGTAGGGAACCTCGTGGAATACTTCATATAAGCAATCACACGACTCCTCCACACCTAATTGCAGTCAATTATGTCCAGCCTTGATCTCCAATTAAGGTGTTTTTTTTTTTTTGTGTGGTTATATAGCGACGAGGTATCTTAAGTTAAACTTGACATATCACACCAAGTCCTCAAATATAATCTTTGTAAATGGGCTTGAAGATTAATTTGGGTAGGGCTAAAAAAGGATGTTTAGTTCTTGGGTAATATTTCAGTTAAACTTAAGATCACAAGATGTGCAAAACTCTCTAGCTAATTAAGCCAACTTTACAAGTAAAATTTTATTTCAAGCTATCGGATTATCGACGGTCTCCAAATAAACCATCTAAAAACTTTTTGCAGTATATCCCGTATGAACCTAATGTATTCAGATTTAATTATTAGATAGTAACGCGGGAATAAGGATATTTTGGAAGTCAAAAGACACATGCTCTGCAATAAGGATATTTTGGAAGTCAAAAGACACATGCTCTGGACTGGGCTTGCTTCAACGAAGTATTGAAAAGCAATGTCCGAAGGTCATACTCACACCAGGTCGCATTCCTCTAGAAGAACATGATGATTCCAACGTTCGCACGCGTTTGCGTCTCAAATCAATTGCAGCTTCCTGGAAATTGAGTCTCATATCCACTTGGGTCGTGTCCCAAACATCGTATATCTACCTCAGCACAACCAGGACTTCTCAACATTCTCAGCCTTCTCAGTTCTCACATCTCCAATTCCTTTAGCAAAGCAAAAAACTCAAAAATCACAAACCAGCTCCCCTACAAGACCATCTAGCAATGGCAGAGAAGAACCAGAACCAATACCAACCACCCGAATCGAACGGCTTTCGCCGGAACGATCAAGAATCGCTTCATACCATGGAGGATGTGGAGGCCAAGCGCAAGAAGAGGATGAAATGGACGATCGGCATCATCGCCTTCGTCATCTTTCAGGTAGTCCAAGCTCTCTTCTTTGTCCTGGTCATCATGAAGTTCAAGTCCCCCAAGTTCAGAGTCAGCGACTTTGCCGTCCAGACTCTGAACGTTGGGACTCAGGCATCACCTTCGTTCGATATGAGCTTCGTTGCTCCGATCCGAGTCAAGAACACCAATTGGGGTCCCTTCAAGTACGACGCCTCCACCGTTGACTTCACTTATGGAGGTGTCCAGGTGGGACAAGTGATCATTCCAAAAAGCAAGGCCAACTTCAAGTCCACCAAGAAGATCGACATGAATGTGGCTTTGAGCTCTGCCAATTTACCCAGCAGTATTAATTTGAATCTAGGGAGCGACTTGAACTCGGGGGTCATAACATTGAACAGTCAAGGCGAGCTTAAAGGAAAGATCACAGTCATGTTCATATTCAAGAAGACGAAGATCTCGCAAATGAATTGCACCATGGCAATCAGTACCTCGACAAAGGCGGTCCAATCCTTGTCGTGTAAATGAGGATAGTGAGTGTGATTCTCCGTGATTCATGCTTTGTGAGCCCGCTCAAATATTTTCTTTCCACAAATTTTCCGTGGATTAAATAGCGAAATTCATTTATTTCTATCTTATAGTTGATTGGGGTTATTTGTTTGTTTATTATTTATTTGTTGTGTATACTTTTCACATGATGTACCAGCACTACGTGCTTTGGATTTTTCTTCTTTTTTTCCCACAGAGATTACTGTTTTCATCATGAGGACGACTGGCCCACTGTGTTTCTTTCATTTGCCTGGCCACGGTTTTGAATTTGTGCAGCCTATCTTGGATTGGATCTCTTAAATGTGAGTGGACAGAGAGCTCCCCATGTTGTGTCTTTGGGACCCCTCGGGACGAATTGACGGTCCTACATGATGAGCTTTGGCCATGGCTCATTTGCCATCCCTAATGTCTCTCGACATCAAGGTATACGCATACGTACCATCCCATCGGTGGCTAGCCTAGATACACGCCACGGACATGTCCCGTCCCTAAAGCTCGCTCGCTCGCTCGTGAGTTTTTCAGCTTCTAGCAACAGTATTAGCCGTTGCTTGAGAGTTATATTTGTGATAAGTGTATTGGAAGTCGTAAAATTTATCACAAAAGTGCAATTGAGTCCTAAAATTTCAAAAAGTTTTACTAAATCTTAAAATTTATCAAATTGGTGCAATCAAGTCCTAAAACTTGTGAAGTTGGAGTAATCAAGTTCTAAAGCTTGTGAGTCAAGTTGGACGAAGTTAATGAAAAATTGATAAATTTTAGAACTTGATTCCACTTTTTTAAAGTTTTAGGACTCAATTGTACTTTCGTGACAAGTTTTAGGACTTTTATTACACTAATCCCTTGTTTTTTTTATTAGTGGAAGGTCAATTAATATGTAATTAAATCGAATCGTCACATTTTACACTGTATAACTATGATAGTATACACAAATGAACTTGTCCTAGAATTCTGCTCGATTGAACCATAAGATTGGTTCTTAACACTCTAATCAAAATACATTTGTACGTTTGTATTTATAGCAAAAACCTTTAAAGCCTACAAACACAATCAACTCGTAATAGTTGAAAGGCATGCAACGTAACATCTAATTTTACAATCTCTTGTAGTAATTAAAAATTGAAAACTAGACTTGTCAAAATGTGTCATGAAACTATTTTTTAACCAATATTTGATGGATTAAATTGATATTTTCAGTAAATGAGTCATAAATGAGTTTAGTATGGTAAAGCTCAAAATAATGAGTATTAAATGTGTTCACAACTTTCTTAAATTCAATCCACTTTTATGACTCTTTTGATCTTGCTCTCACTAGCTCTACACTCTCACGTCAGTTAATTTAGTTTAAATATAGAAGTGTTTTAGCAGTATAGATCAGGTCGGGAGTGAGTCACTAAATTTATAATATGAAAATAAATCAAAACGGATTAAATGTTTTAATTTAGATCAAATTATTTTTTATTCGACTCACCCGTTCGGTGGGTTTATTCAGAAGTAATGTACTGTTATGGTTCAAGCCTTTTCCCCTTTTAGCGGCCTCTTCTTTGTCCCGACATCCTGCCAAGTCTGCCAAGGTGGGCGGAAGACTCAATCCTGTCCTCCAGATTCGCTTTGAGTCAAGTCAACTGATGAGTCATGAGTCATCAAGTTTGTGCGTCAATATTCTCGAGGCATTACTTGGGGGATTGACAAAGAGGAGAGTATGCCCCACATGTATCAGAGGGCCGAGAGAAAATCTGTACTATTATGCTTGTACAACATGGTATGCAAATATGGCATTATATATCTTATTAGATGTGTTATCCTTTCTATATGTGCAAGAAAAAAGAAAGAAAAAATACTCAATTGAATATCCTGTACAATATCACGGCTGGATGTTAGGTGATACTAGGATTGAATAACATATTTGCTTGAGAAATGCAATCTAGTCATTGTACCAGTGGTGGCAAAGGTATAGTCAATGTTCGGAATAGGATCCATTCAGGGGAATATTTACCTCCTCAGAGAATAACACATCGGCACAGCACTTTGGACAGTCCAAGTTAAATGATTCTCCATTTCCTTTCTTTGCCTTTTATTTTCGGTCTTTTTGACCCTTTTCTGGTTTTCCCTATATTCCTTTCTTCCTTCCACAATTTAACATTGTGCACGCTGCACAGATTGCGGGCCAGCCACTATTGACCAGGGTCGCTACCCAATTATGACATGAAAGAAGTGGTGATATTATGATAACTCCCCCCATGGTATCCCGTTTATAATCTTTAATTTTTCTCTTTGCGGACCACTTCCATATAAAACAGTGAATTAAAGATTTAGATTTTTTGAAAAATGAATAATTCGAAAATTATTATTTTAAAGTGATTGTTGGCATCATTCATTTAGGTCAATAAAAAATGTATTCATTATTAGCAATATACATTTAAAATTTCATTGATGGTGAAAATATTTTTCGTTTATTCTTTTTTCGTTGTTTGAGCACGGAAATGTTGCACAATCATATTTCAGGCGCACCCCACCTAAATTTGGATCTCCATGCGGCAAATGTCCATAACATTTTGTTTTATGTCGAGTTAATGGCGGAAATATCAAATCTGTTTAATGAAATTTTATTTTACACATCGGGGGTGGTCGAAATAATCATTTAATAAGTAAGATTGAGACAATGCCATGCATACAATTTTTTATTTTCGAAGACGCTTTCATTTCTTTAGTTAATAAAAGCTTATGTGGTTATATGCTTTTGTAAACAATATTTAATACTAGCATTGTTTCAACTTTTAATATTTATCTAATATTAATGAGACCTCATGATATAAACGGAACATCATCTAGGAGAAGTACAATAAAGCAATATTATGAAATTTGACTGTGTAGGGTAGTATGAATAGTGACGATAGGTGTGATTAAATATTGTCCAAAGCTAAGATCAATTAAGGTAGGGAACATCGTGGAATAGTCCATATGAGAAATCATAAGATTCCTCCATACCTAACTGCGGTCAAATATGTCCAGCAATAATCTCTAATTGAGAATTTTTTTATAGTTGTTCTGTAGTGATGAGGTATCTTGCAATCTTCACACATCACGCTAAGCATTTTTACTTGAATTCAACAGCACGAGAATATATGCAAATGCTTTTGCCAGTTAAGCCGACACCTTATTGGTTTCTAGATTTCATTTGATTTCATGCGATCTGATCATTGATGGTCTTCAAATAATCCATGTCATTCCCTCATGTATCACATGAATTGACGTTTAACTGTAGGATCAAGTAACCTGTGATTAAGTAATTGGGGTCGGCATCGTGGGGATAATGATATTTTAGAAGTCAAAAGATACATGCTCTTGACTGGGTTTGCTTCTTGTCCCCATTGTGCCTTATCCTCTAGTTTAGCACCCAGTTGGACAATTATATATGTTAAAAGCACTCGGGGAGGCCAATCAATTCATGTGATCGAAGCTTCTGTTGATAGAATAATATCGTCCAACCATAAAAACGTGTCCTACTTTTTTGAAAAAGCAATGTCCGAAGGCCATATTCAAATTAAGTCGCATTCCTCTAGAAATACATGAAGATTCCGACGTTCGGACGCGTTGGCGTCTCACAGTTTCCCGCAAATTGAGTCCCGTATCCACTTTTGCTGTGTCCCAAACATTGTATAAATACCTCAGCATAACCAGGACTTCTCAAACATTCTCAACCTTCTCAATTCTCGCATCTCCAATACCTTCAGAGAAGCAAAAACTCAAAAATCACAAACCAGCTCCCCTACAACCATCTAGCAATGGCAGAGAAGAACCAGAGCCAATACCAACCACCCGAATCGAACGGCTATCGCCGGAACGATCAAGAATCGCTTCATGCCATGGAGGACGAGGAGGCCAAGCGCAAGAAGAGGATGAAGTGGACGATCGGCATCATCGCCTTCATCATCTTTCAGGTAGTCCAAGCTCTCTTCTTCGTCCTGGTCATCATGAAGTTCAAGTCCCCCAAGTTCAGGGTCGGCGACTTTGCCGTCCAGACCGTGACCGTCGGGACTCAGGCCTCACCTTCGTTCGACATGAGCTTCGTTGCCCCGATCCGAGTCAAGAACACCAACTGGGGTCCCTTCAAGTACGACACCTCCACCGTTTACTTCTCTTATGGAGGTGTTCAGGTGGGACAAGCAATCATCCCCAAGAGCAAGGCCAACTTCAAGTCCACTAAGAAGATCGACGTGGACGTGACTCTGAGCTCTGCTAATTTGCCCAGCAGTATAAATTCGAGTCTTGGGAATGATCTGAGCTCTAGGGTCATAACGTTGACCAGTCAAGGCGAGCTTCGAGGAAAGATCACAGTCATGTTCATGTTCAAGAAGAAAAAGACCTCACAAATGAATTGCACCATGGCGATCAATACCACAACAAAGGCTGTCCAATCCCTGTCGTGTAAATGAGCATGCCGAGTGTGATTCTCGGCGATCGATAGTTTGTGTGCTCGCTTCTATGTTTTCTTTCCATGAGTTTTTCATGGATTAAATAGAGAAATTTATGTATTTCTATCTTAATCTTGATTGGGTCGTTCGTTTGTAAATTCTTTATTTGTTCTGTATACACGTCATGTAGCGTACCGACCCCAGGTACTTTTGATTTTTTCTTTCTTCTTTCCTCATAGAGAATACTGCTTTCATCCTTTGGCCCAAAAAACGTATCATGAGAATGACTGGTCCACTGTATTTTTTCCATTTGGTTTGCCATGGTCTAGAATCAGTGCAGACATCTTGAATTGGATCTCTTAACTATGAAGTGGACAGAGAGCTCCACACATATTGTGTACTTCGGACCCCTAGGAACAAATTGACAAATCCTTGATGATGGGCTTCGGCCATGGTTCGTTTCCCGTGCCTAATGGCTCGACAGAAGGGTACAAGTATGCGTATCGTCCCCATTGGCATCTAAGCGTAAGGGTGACTAGTCGCCCATGTCTAGTTGTTGAAGCTCACTGGTGATAGTTTTTCAGCTTGCAGTTACAGTAGTCTCATTTATCGCTTGAGAATTTTTTTTTAGTAGTGGAAGGTCAATTAGTATAAAAATACATAACTATGATAGTATTTACAAATGAATTATCATAAAGTTCTGCTCGTTGGACCGTAAGATCAGTTCGAAGCACTCAACCAAAACCAATTTCTACCTTTGTATTTACAGTGGAGAACTTTAATGCATCCTAACACAATCATCTCGCAATAATTTGGGCAAAAAGTGTTCAATATACTGTTTGTTCACACAAGGCACTCTATGTGACATCTCATTTTACAATTTCCTGTGTGAATTAATAATGGAACTGTTATGGTTTAAGCTTTTTTCTCTTTTAGCGGCCTCTTAGGGTGCGCATGAATACCATTCTGTGCCCGGGAACTATTTCTGAACAGAAATGATTTTTTTTTATTCTGTGCCCGGAAACAATTTCTGAGTATTTTAAGGCGTTTGATAAACTGTCCAAAATTTCTATTCCTAGAGTAGAAAAGAACAGAAATGCGTTTGGTAACTACACAAAATTTATGTTCCCAAATAATATTTTAATAATATTTTGAATTGTTTAATTTTTTTTTTCTTTTTACCCATTTTCTTCTTTGGCCATGGCCGGTCGCCGGCGACCGGCGGCCGGCAACCGGCCACAGCCCAGGGCCGGCGAGGGCGTCACGGCCCTCGCCGGCCGCCGCAGAGGCGAGGGTTGCCCTCGCCGGCGAGGGCGAGGGCCGGACCTCGCCGCCCGGGCGAGGCGACCTCGCCCGAGACGGCGAGGCCGAGCCTCGCCATCGCGACCCACGGCGAGGTCGGCTCGCCAGGTCACGACGGCGAGGCTCGGCCTCGCCGATCCGGGCAAGGCCGAGCCTCGCCGTCTCGGGCGAGGCCGACCTCGCCGTCGCGACCGACGGCGAGGCTCGGCCTCGCCCAGGCGGCGAGGGTCCAGCCCTCGCCCTCGCCGGCCCTGGGCTATGGCCGATCGCCGGCCCAGCCCAGGGAAGAACAGCACAAAAATAAGAAAAGAAAAAAAAAAGAAGAAAAAAAACTGATTCTCAAAATTGTGCCGAGAAACAAGAAGCAACTTTTTTTTACTTTTTGTTTCTCTTCCAAAACTGTTTCTCGGCACAAATTTTTGCAAAAATGTGCCCAGGAACAAAAAGTTTACCAAACGCATTTCTGTTCCCAAACTATTTCTGGGAACAAAAGAACAGAAATTTTCACTATTTGGTACGTTACCAAACGGGCCCTTATTTGTCCTGATATTCTGCCAAGTGTGCCAAGGTGGGCCGAGGACTCAATCCTGTTTTTCAGATTAGCTTTTAGTCAATGGATTTTTAGTTATCAAGTTTGGTGCATACTCTGAAGTGGCGTGTTAGGGTGCATTTGATAATCATTCTGTTCTCGAAAATAATTTATACTCAGAAATGATTATTTTTTATTTCATTCCCGGAAATAATTTTTAAGCATTTGAAGGCGTTTGATAACTACCCAAAATTTCTATTCTTGAAATATAAAAAGAATAGAAATGCGTTTGGTAACTGCACAAAATTTCCTTTTATTAATAATATTTTAAATATTTTAATATTTCTTTCTTTTTATTTTTCCTTTTAATTTTTCTTTTTCTTCCCCTTCCTTGGCCCATGGCTAGGTCGCCGGCGTCGACGACCGGCCACAGGCCAAGGCCGGGGAGGGTTGGACCCTCGTCGCCGCCCCCGCCGCCGCTCTTGCCAAATCAGGTGAGGGCGGTAGCGAGGGTCGCCTATGCTAGATCCGACGAGGGCGGCCCTCGTCTAGGTGGTGAGGGTCTAGCCCTCGCCCTTGCCGGCGAGGGTTGCGACTCCCTCGCCGGCCTTGGCCTGTGGTCGGTCGCCGGTGGCCGGCAATCGGCCACAGGCTAGGAAGAAAACGAAGAAGAAGAATAAGAAAAAAAAATTCTTTACCATTTATGATTTTTGTTCCCAAAATCAAGAAGTAACTTTTTTTTGCTTCTTGATTCTGTTCCAAAATTGATTTTGAGAACAAATTTTTGCCCAGGAACAAAAAATTTACTAAACGGATTTCTGTTCCAAAACTGATTCTAGGAACAAAAGAATATAATCAGTTACTATTTGACCAGTTATTGTGACATTCCGAATTTTGACCCATTTTTGGGATTTATAGAACGTTTAATTCGTCAGTGCGCTTATAATAGAATCTCGCCTGGGAACTGATCACTCTCGGGTTCTTGTTTTAAAAATAGAGATTTTGCTAGAATCGCACTCGATCGAATTTGGCCGTTATTTAGAGCCCAAACTTTGGTGTCGAATTTCTTGGAGTTCCGGGACGAATTTAATTGGACGGTGTCGATATTATTGTGGCCAGCGTCGGTATTACCCGGAGTATGTGAAAAGTGGATTTTTGACCGGGTGCGAATTTAGACTGGTAGACCTCTCTCGTGGTGTTTTGGCTTATTTTATTTTGGCCATTTTCCTATATTATTAATTAGGATTATTGGGGACCGTTATATCATTTTCGGATTCGAACCGTGTCCGTTGGATCGCACTCGAGTAAGAGGTTTGACTTTGAGTCTCTCTCTCTCCTCTCTCCTCTCCTTCTGTCGCGCCGAGACTCCCTCTGCCCGCACGTCTTCTCTTCTTTCTTCCCCGTGCGTCTGTCCCATCTCTCCTTCCTTCTCTCTTCTCTCTCTCTCTCTCTCTCTTCCCCTGCATGCAACGTCCATCACGCACGCACACTTCCCCCCCTCTGACACACCCCATTCTCCCTCTCTCTCCTTCTTTTTCTTCTTTCTTTCTTCTTCTCTCTCTTCTCTCTTCTCTTTCTTCTTCCTCCCCCAGCCGACTGGTTCTGCGTCGTTTCTGCCCATGCTCGCCGGCTGCCATTCGACCGCCCATCCACCTCCGCCCGACGCCGACCCCACCAGCCGCCGATGCAGCCGTCCTCCCCGCGCCGTCGTCGCGCCGCCGCGTCGCCTGGTAGCCCCGCCCGACTCTGCCTTCTCCTCCTCCCGAGCGCGTGAGCTCGGCTCGCCGCCGTTCCCGCTGCCGCGAGTCGCCGCCGCGTCGCCTAGCCGCCCCCGTCGTCGCTGCTCGCCGGCCAGCTCGCCCGTCGCCAGCTCGTCCGGCCAGCTCGCCGCCGGTCCGCCACCCCCCCTCAGCCCCAGCCTCTTCTCTCTCTCCCTCTCGCCCCCACCCCCGGCCGACCTCCACCCTCCTGCAGCTCGCCGTCGCCGTCGCCATAGTCGCCGCCGCCGCCGATCGTCGCCCTGACCAGCTAGCCAGCCAGCCCCGGCCAGCCAGCCAGGCTGTGGCCAAGCAGCTCGGGCCAGCCCCGGGCCGTAGCCAAGCAGCCCAGGCCAGCCCGGGCCGTGGCCGAGCTCGCCCGGCGCCGTGCCCGTCCGACCAGGCGCGTCGCCCATCCGACCAGGCGCGTCGCCCGTCCGTTCGCCCGTGCGCCCCCTGGCACGCCGCACGGCCATCGCGCCCGCGCGCCAGGCACGCCGATCGGCCATTGTGCCCGCGTTGGCCGGCCACCGCGCCTGTTGGCCCGCGCCCGCGCCCAGTCCGGTACTGTTCACCCGGGCCATTTTGGGCCCGAGCCGACTTTTCCCGGGCCAAACTTAGGTAAGTGACTTCCTAAACCCTACCTAGTACTTTGGGTATTTTTAGACTTGTTTAGGGTGAAATTTAGTACCGGCTTAGGACTTTAATTAGGCGTGGGCTAATTAGACTGATTGTGCTTAATTGGTGAATTATTGTGGCGATAATTGTGCGGCTGATTTAGTGATTGACTGAGATAAATATGCCTGACTGAATTGTCGTGGCGCTTGTGGGTGAATTGGATTAATTGAATGTGCCGACATGAATGTCGGGTCGGTGGACCGATGTGGGGAGTGTGAATTAAAGTGGTTGTTAGAGTGTGTCAGATTGACATTGGTGTGAGCTTGGTAATTTGATTGTGAAATGTATGACGTGTTAGATGACAGATTGTGTGGTGGTGCATGTGCATGAGAGAAATGTCCCGAGGCGTGGTTACGCGGACCGAGCCCGGCTTGATCTCGAGGCCGCCAACCCGAGGCGTGGTTACGCGGGTGTGGCTAGAAAGGCAAGTAATGACCTGAGGCGTGGTTACGCGGGTCGAGAGAAATGTCCTGAGGCGTGGTTACGTGGGACTGGGCCCTGCTTGATCTGAGGGCTGCTAACCTGAGGCGTGGTTACGCGGGTGTGGCTAGAAAGGCAAGTAATGACCTGAGGCGTGGTTACGCGGGTCGAGAGAAATGTCCTGAGGCGTGGTTACGCGGGACTGAGCCCGGCTTGATCTGAGGGCTGGCTTGAGGCGTGTTGACGCGGGCCGTGTGAAAGGACCTGGGAGGTCGTGAGAAAGTTGCTCGGCCACGTATGCGAATTGAGTGTGATTGAATTGGCTGGTTGAATTAGTTGGATTGATTGAGTGAAAGCGTGGTTGGTGTTTGAGCGATTGTGATGTGTTATTTAATTACTATTATTGCATTATCACGTGACGACTAACGTGTAGAGTTGGCATGGGC